GATGTGGCCCCTGGGCCTCTTGTTTGAATTTGTTATGACGAATTCCATTTTGTTGTAAAAGATTAAAATCGTAATCATGAATTCAAAGAAATTGTTATAACGAATTTAATTCGGTAAAAAATGAACACTCTTTTTAAAAATCGTTTATGCTTCAAAACTTCCTGGTTGAGAGGGGTCGATCATTACAATCCGTTTAAAAAGATTTAATTCATTCCAAGGATTTATTTTCAAATTGTTTGGTTTACTTTAAATCCCTTATGTATTTATGCAAACACAACCATGTTTGACTGTTATTTAAATAAATTTCATCTTAATAACGACTCTCATTTTTTAACAATATAAGTTTTAGCCATTCATTCGCTCGGTTCCTGTCAATTTTCCCCGTTTTTTATTTGGTCCACTGAATACTTTTGAATACGAACTGATCACCAAAACATTCAGCAATAGAATGGTAGTGGAACCGGAAGGGAAGAATTCGATGGCTGTGCTGCTTCATTATAAATAGGAGCATAATATCGTTGGAAAGCTACGGTAAGTATTGGGATACTTACATTGTAACAGTATCCTTCGAGTGAACATTTTAAATTTGTTTTGTTTTTCTGTATATATGACCAAGAATAATAAGAAGAATTCCAAGACATTTTAGTTGCTCAAAGTTGTTTTTGTTATTGAGAGGTGCTGATGACTTGTCCGAAAGGCAAAAAAAAGTATAATATTTTTTAACTTTTATATCTCTAAATGAATTAACCCAATGAAAACTTTTTCTTGAAGACACGTACTTTTATTCTTAGCATAAAAATTATCGATACCAGTTAGAAAAATAAATACCATATCGCCATATTATGTCATGTAAACCAAAAATACACCGGAAAGCCCAATCCCAAAATAAAATAAAATAAAGATGGGTGACAAATTATATTTTTCACAAAAAAGACAATTTAAATCATTTACATACAATGTTAAAAATAAAACCTTAATGAGTGTTATTCTAATGCAGAGAAAATGTGCACTTTGGATTTACCCATTTCCTGTATAAGAAAGCTTTATAAATCTTTTTTTCTTATAGCGGTTTTAGATGATTTCAATTTTTAGGTTATTTTCATTGAAAAAGTAACTAACTTATATTGAAATAAAAACCTCTCTTTTTCTCATTAAAAATATTTTGATTATGCTGGTTTAAAATCAATTTTCAATATGAAACGGTAAATGCCTCTCTAATTAAAAGAAAAGTTCGATCGACTTTTAAACTAAGGCTTTCATTGATCAAAACTACTGGAGCATGGATCTTTAAAGTTAATTTCTTTTAAATTTTTTTAAGACACTTTTTTCTGCTTTCAGCCTTTGTAAAGCCTTAGAAAACTCCACGGAAAAAAGAAATAAAAGGACGTTTGAATAGTGCATATTCATGTAGATCTACTTGTTTACTTTTAAACATACCTGTCTGTGTGTACACAAGGTCATTCTGCAAATGTTGTGTGACACACAACCAGGCGTGACAATCATCATTCCAAACAAATAGAAATAAACCTGTTACATTAAAGTTTTAGAATTCAAAGAATTTAAAACTTTCTATAACATTGTTATAGTTAGTTTTAAATTCTCTGAATTCTAAATATTTAAGGAGGAATGCCACACCAAATTTTTATTTTATAGATCTGTGAGTCAACCTTTTTAAACAATGGATTCAGCATTGAAAGGCTGACTATAGCTCTCAATTATTTTATATGAATTTTTTTTGTATTTTTTCAAAGAAAATGAAAAGAATTATTTCCTTCAAAATAAGACGTTTTCTGGTAAAAATTTCGCTGTAAATGAATGCATCACTTTAATATCTAATAAAATATGTGTAGAAAAGCTGTATAGATATTATATTTTTTTTAAATAAAAAAATATTTATGAAATTAAACACATAATTTGTGAATATTTTTTGAATTTATTGTTAAAATTTTCTTAAAACCAGTCACAGGTTGGAAGAACATGTTCTTTAATCATATTTATAAAAGAAATTGAAACGAAATGGCCAAATTTTAGAAAAATTAATTTTTTAAAATTTTGGCCAATCCCGATCAAAATTAAACCGATCCCAACCATAATTGTATATTTATTGGAAATGAATACATTTCCCCAAGAACATTAGTCTGATTAATTGTAATAAGGGTTAAAACATTAATGAACCTGACAATAAAATAGATTTCTTTATCGTAAATACATAAAGAGGCAGTAAATTAGCCTTTTATTAATTTTGTATTAATTTTGATCGGGATCAGTTTAATTTTGATCGGGTTAGGTCCAAATATTATAAAAATTAATTTCTCTAAAATTTTTCAATTTCATTTCAATTTCTTTTAAAAATATGATTGACAAACATGTTGTCCTCAGTTGTGACTAGTTTTATGGTGATTTTAACCATAGGTTTAAAAAATATTAACAAATAATGACCCTTACCAAAATATTGACCTTCTGGCAACATCTTCTGGTTTTATTGCCGCAATATTGCAGCAACATTCTGGCAATACATTGCCGCAATATTGCGGCTATATCGTTTTTCGTATGTAAATTAGTTTTGCGGCAATATTGCCAGAAAGGGGTTGCGGCAATATTGCTGCAAATCATGACCAAAATATTGATCTTCTGGCAACATCTTCCGGCATTATTGCCGCAATATTGCGGCTATATCGTTTTTCGTATGTTAATTAGTTTTGCGGCAATATTGCCAGAAAGGGGTTGCGGCAATATTGCTGCAAATTATGACCAAAATATTGATCTTCTGGCAACATCTTGCCGCATTATTGCCGCAATATTGCGGCAATATTGTTTTTCGTATGTAAATTAGATATAAATTGGTTTTAATAGAAATAATGATCTATCAATCTAACAATTAACAAACTGTGCTGAGGATTATAACAAACAATAGCAAGCCACAGGGTCAATAAGAAATAGCTACTTCTGCTATTCTTTGAACAGATAGAAAATTATGTTGATCATCATAATGAAAATCAAGATATGTTTGTGAAACACTATGCGCCTGGTGGCAATAAAGTTTGAAAAAGCTATTTATAGCATATGGTTTACAGTCAAGGTCACAATGTCATTGATCTTGGTGTCGTTTGAAAGTACTTAATTAGTGGAGTATGCATACTAAATATGAAGTCTGTATCTCTTATAGTTCAAAATTTATGGCAGAGGATCAAAATGGCTATTTTTAGCATATGGGTCACAGTAAAGGTCAAATTGTCCTTGGTGTTACTTGAAAGAGTTTAATTAGTGAAGGGTACATACCAAATATGAGTTCTCTATCTTTTATGGCTCAAAATTTATGTTGAAGTTTCAAAAAATCTTACTTGAAGCATATTGTTACAGTCAAGGTCCCAAGGTCATTGACCTTGGTGTTATTTGAAAGAGCTTAATTAATGAAGGGTGCATACTTAATACAAGTTCTCTATCTTTTATGGCTCAAAAGTTATGTCCAAGGTTAAAAAAATCTATTTTAAGGATATGGGTCACAGCCAATGTCTCAAGGTCTTTGACCTTCAGGTGTCTTTTGAAAAAGCTTAATTAGTGACTTATGCATACTTAATATAAAGTCTCTATCTTTCATTAATTTTAAGTTATGATGAATATTCGAAAAAGCTATTTTTAACATATAGGTCACAGTCAAGGTCACAAGGTCATTGACCTTGATGTCATTTGAAAGAACTTAATTAGTGGAGTAGACTTACCAAATATGAAATCTTTATCTCTCATTGGTTCAAAAGTAATGGTGAAGGTTAAAGTTTACAAACAAACAGACAGGACAAAAACAATATGTGCCCCCGATCTATCGAGGCGGGCGCATAAAAAATGTTTATAGAAACAAAATTGATATGCCACTGTGAAAATGTTCAGCAACTCTGGATTAATTTTCAAATAACATGCTTTAATTAATCTTTTCCTGCTACTCTAGGATATATAGAAATACAAGTCTAGTATGCATGCATCACAAGCACTAGTTGAAACACATATAATTTTTCCAATTTTATCTCCATTGAATCATTCATCTTAAAAAGAATATTGGTTTTGACTCACCAAGTCTGCAATGATGATATGGAAACAGCTAGAGTACACATTCCTATAATTCTGCTTAAATTCTTTTTTCTAGTCATTCCACACTATGCAGTCTTACTACTCATCTTGACTAATCCCACTGTACACAATTGACAACTCTAATTAACTTGATACAAGTCAGTAATGAAGCAAAACATGCTTGCCTTTGAATTCCCTCCACTTTATTTAAAAAGAGGAAGTAAATGAGTGAGCATGCTCAACAAATGGCTCATGGGTAATCCTAGATGTTGCCAGAAAGTTTTTTTCTGGCAGTATTGCCAGAATGTCACCGGAAGTTGTTGCAGCTAGCGGTGATATTTCATTCTTTCTGGCAGTATTGCCAGAATGTCACCAGAAGTTGTTGCAGCTAGCGGTGATATTTCACTAACCCAAAAAGCTTGTTTCTGGTGACAAAAATGTGTTGCCGCAATGTTGCCGCAATATAGCAGCAATATTGCTGCAATAATTTTACTTCGGTAAGGGGAATTTTATTTTCATAAATATTTTTTTATAAAAAAATTTAAAAAGTCTAACCAGTCTTTCTTTACATATTTTATTAGATATTAATATGATACATTCATTTACAGCAAACTTTTAACGCGAAAACGTCTTAGTTGGATGTAATTAATTTTTTTCCTTTTCTTTGAAAAAATACAAAAAAATTCATATAAAATAATTGAGAGCTAATATCGACCTTTCAATGCTCAAACCCTTGTTTTAAAAGAATGACTCAAAGATCTATAAAATAAAAAGTTGGTGTGTCATTCCACCTTAATGTAACAAACCTTGAAAAATTAACTGGAAATCTTCAAAAGATTGTAGCAACAAAATATTCAATTCCTTTGAAATTTAGCTTTCATCTTTTGAAGATTTTTTTTAAAATCTCTGTTTAAAGTTAACTGACATTTCTTTTTCAGTCTCACAAATTAAAAAGAAAAGATGCAAGGAAAAACTTTATGGTATGTAGTTCCTGAAAAATTCTTTATAAAGATAACAACCATGTACTAAGCTTTATCATTTTGAATATCAGCTGTTAAAGTGATTTCATACAGTATAATGTTATGTCAGTAATTTTAAATACATGTACGTCTTATCTTGGAATCTATTGGTAATTAATTTAGAAACAACACCTTACTTAAATAAAAAAATTATAAAAAAAAAATAATAATATATTAACTTGATCATAATTACCCTGACTTAATTATATTTTTGACCATTGAAAGTCAAATCAAAAAAGAAATTCAAATTAAAAAATGTACATGTGTATATAAAATCCTATAATCACCTTCATATAGCATTTTTAAAACAAACATGCACATTTTTAAAAAGTACATGTACATGTTCGAGGGGTGATCAAAAAGTCCGCGAAGTAACTGAATAACTTCCATAAAAGAAACTTGGTTTGGTTTCAGTGTTGATCATGTTTTAAATAAGTCCTCTCCGGTTTTAATGCACATCTGTCACCGTTCTGCCGGTCACGTGACCCTCTCCATAGCGTTCTGTCACAAAAGCTGAAAGCTTTTTACTGAGTTTTATATTTCTTTCCATGTAAGTTAATTTTTATAACAAGAACAGTACATTTGTCAGAAATGTTCAAATATCGGAAACAAAATGGGTGGATAGGAATACCCCCCCCCCAAACAAAAAACAAAAAAAAAAACCAGGCGACCATCAAAACCAAAATCTTCTGTCTCTGGAGAGACGTTTATTCAAGGTGGATATAGAATGTGTGTCTCCTTTTTATCATAATTAACATGTTTAAAATCTAAAGTAAACTAAATCAAAGGTATTTAATAATTATAGTATTGTTAAAATATTCAACTATTATTCAGTGTGTAAATTAGACGTCTCTGATAGGAAATTGCTTAATTAAAAATACGTCTCTTTTCAGACTTGCTTTCACTAGGTAGCATAACAAGTGCCATTTTTAACTATCTTCCTTCCTTTAATAAAACGATCAATCCAATCAGTTCTAGGAAGTCTTTTGCCTTAATAAACTCTGTACAAATTTTTACACGCTACTTCAAAGGGATTTTTAAGATAAACCGATTAATTTTACAGTCGTATGTTGAACGAGGACGACCATTTTTCGTCACAAGTGACCTACATAGTGTCGTCATTTTCACATTGTTACGTCACAAACAAGCAAAACTTTATTCAACATATGCTATTTATAGAACTTTTGTATGGCTATGTGTACCAAATTTTTTTTAAATCTGAAATGTGGTTTTGTAGATAAAGAGATAGTTCGCGAACTTTTTGATCACCACTCGTAAGCCCTACTTCAGGAATTTTTCATTTAGAAGAGCTCTAGTTTAATCAATATGTGTACATAACACCTAAGCCACGTTCACCTTTTTCTTTTTGGAGAGATAATCATTTTGGCAGTAAAGTGTGATACATATATATTCTAGTAATATGTTATTGACTACATAAATCTTAACAAATGAATGTTTTTACATTCAGGAGACAATTTTTGGAGGTGATAAAAAATTCATCACGATCCCGTGGGAAAAATATTTACCCAATATCAGCCAACCTTGTTGTCCTAGGAATTATATTTGTCAGAGTGAGTATTTTGTATTATATATATATATATATATAGAAATGACCAATTCGGTGAATATAAAATCGTACTTTTCGTACCAAGTTTCCTTATCGTAAATAAATATGTAATATCTATTCAAATCATGAAAGACACGCGTCCAGAATTTGCAAAATTTCTGTAGATGAATCGCGATACATGTACATGCATGTCTACACCAGTGCAAAATCTTGTGGGGACACTGGGAAAATTTTAAAATTTGAATAAAAGTGCATCTCCATTACGTGGTACATGGCATTTACCCCCAGGAAAAATGCTAGAATACAAAACAGCATCAGCGACTAGAAATCAATGTAGTTTATTTGCATTGACAAAGTGCATGTAAATAATGTATTCAATTTATTTATTTTGACCTTCTAAAATGTTAAGAACACTTAATTAAATTGATTACAAATTAAGTAAAATATAATAAATTTCTGTTTATTGGAATATTTAAATCAAAGGGCAGAAAAATACAAAAGAATCATAGATCTCTTTGCTGTGCAGTGTAAAGAGGGTTTTAATTAATTGTTTTGCCTTATATTACATTGTTGCGCTTTCTCATTGAAGACATTGTCCATCGAAAAACTAAATATAATGTAGTTGCTAAATAATAAGTACTGAAAATAATAAAATAAAATAATGGATTTTACCTTTAAAGATATTGTTGTAGTGTATATCAGTTGATTACTTTGTTGTTGTAGTGTTTATCGGTTGATTACTTTGTTGTTGTAGTGTATATCGGTTAATTACTTTGTTATTGTATTGCATATCGGTTGTTTACTTTGTTGTTGTAGTGCATATCGGTTGGTACTTTGTTGTTGTTGTAGTGTATATCGGTTGCTTACTTTGTAATGGGACTCGTCTGGAAGATCCACACCGGCCTGATTAAGGAGAGCTGGATCGAGGTCCTGAATAGACTTTGGATTGGGAACCTCCGACTGGGGACCACAGTGAACGCCCTGGTCCTAACAGGCGTCTGTCTATTCCCTGTTTACGACATCTGTGGAGGCATCGGATTAATGGGGATATTTTGCAGGAAGAGAATCTTTGTTGTTTTGGTAAGTTAATCTATCAATTTAAGGAGCTTTGTATTAAAATGAGTTAAAATCGAATAAAGGTTTCTTTCTTTTTACTAAATTTTAAGGCAATTCTGGTTGTTATGCTTTAAATATTTCTTACAATTTATTCTTTGACAAGCATTTTCTTGTCTTCTTGTGTGGGTGACAAGCAATCATTACGTTTGATTCCTCTGTGATTTTTTAAATAGAAAGCCTCTCGTGGACACCTGATTCCGCCTCTGGTGTTCACAGGAGTCCTTATTTTAGCTCTTTCACGTTTTGTTTTCTTGACTGCAATTATGAGATTGATATCTGATTGATTTCTTCATTATTACATTAATTTCTACAAAATACATTTTATCTTTTTAAAAGAATATATTATAATTTCAGTACATGCTGTCATTAATGTTTTTCATCTTGACTGATGTCATTTTTCTCTCGCTGTTTGTTATTCTTCGTGATGGGGTGAGTATAATAATTATAATGATAATAATAATAATAAGAGAGAGAGACAGAAAGAAATATGTTTAAATTACATAATTAAAGTTAACGATTTTTCTATAGTTGTTGATTCCTGTAAAATTTTGTTTTCTTTTATCTTTAAGTTTGGTGGATCGCTCGCTTTGGACTTTCAAGATATTTACATTCAAATGTCTGCAGTATATCGTAGTTGGCCATATATCGATGTTAAAGGCATTAAAGATGATTGGATAGACATGTTTTCCACAGTAAGTTCATAAAGAATATTATCATATCCATATCCATATCAATATCCACATTTTCTGTAACGTCTAACGTTACAATCAGTTAAAAATAACAGTCAACGGGTGCTTAAAGAGGTAATTTCAAATCTCTATAAAGACGTTTGTTAAAATACGCTGGTAAATGTATTTTAAACATGTTTTAGATATGTTTTATTTTATCTTTCTTTCTGAACTTAGAATATGATTCTGAAAGATTTGGAAGTCTCTTCATTAATAAACTATATTCTCATAAAAAGTCACATGTACATGTGTGCATTATCATTTTTAATAGTAAGAACACAATTTTATTTCAGTTGGGGTGTTGTGGAGTAACCGATCAGTACAGTTCATACAATTATGAATGCATTGGTTACAGTCCTGTAAGTTTAGAGATATAAAATATTAATATATATATAAGAGAATCTTTACAAGAAAACTCAAATGCAAAATGTTGCATCTTAAAAAAGTAAAGCCACAATTTCCTTCCGTCAAATACTTTATCCGTATGTCACACTAGCATTACTTTTTTTTATTTTCATAGTTTTAGAGGCATGAAAAATAATGTGATGATTTGTGACAAAAATGTACAGATATATATTTCTTGTAAATCGGTTCTAATGCTTAAATCACACGCTTTATTTCAAGTGGCAAAGTTGTTGGGGGAAATTTGCTGCAGGTATGAGGCCTTTTTTGACAACCTATGCTTGCCTTGCTGGGATTTGCCTATTCACTGAGGTAACGCTTTACTTTACCTTTTAGGTTTAGTTATTAATAAATCTTTATGTAGTATGACAACTAAATGAACGGGTAGTAAAATTTAATTCAAGTTATATATTCTATTTATAACTTATTTTCAGATAAGCGTAAAAATGTTTGTTAATAACCTATTATAAATAATTATCATCATAAGTAAAGATTAGTAAATTATTTCAGATTGTACAACTAGGGTTATGTGACTGGATTTACAGCCAAATGTCACATCAACGATACCCCTTTGCTTTGGCACGAACTTGCATCACGATGCTCCAAGAGGCATGGAAAAAGTAAGGCATGTTACAAACCTTGTAAGGAATGATAATCTGTTCACATCACAAAGAGTTGTTATTATAAGTAACACAATAAGTTAGTGGTCTGGCAACGATAATAATGAATTGTAGAAAAAATCCTTATCACAGTCGTTGAGATTAAATTTTATTTATTATTAGGATTTTTTAAAAAACTGTAAGATAGTAACTTAATGTATATAAGAAGGAATTACATGTATCTCCCTAAAAAATAGGAGATTAAAACATCAAAATTTTGTACATTTTATCAATTCCTGTCATTTATATTTTCCAATTATATGCATTTCATACTGTTACTTTTACATTAGTAAAAAAATTAACTGGTGTTAATAGTTCAAACATTTATTATAATTCAGTAACAAAAATATATACATACATGTATACTGATCATGAATAAACAGTGTTATTATTGTCGGGTAGGGTACATAAATGCTTTTCTTGAAAGTGTCGAGAATGAAATTTCTTATTTTTTGCAATTCTAGTTCAAGACAAGGGTTTCTAGCAAATATTTGGAGGCTGTTGTCATTTGTATGTATTTATCATTATTATTTTATAATAATCATTTGTTTAAACATCATTACCAATCAATTAATATTATATTTAACTATTTATTATGTGACTAAACTTATCAAATTTAGGAACAAACTAATGAAAAAACTTCATTCAATTTACTCAAAGGTACCGGCAGTGTGTCTGATCGTGTTTGGAACAATGCTCCTTACTGATTCTAAGCTGTCTGGGACCTTTGTTTCCGGGATTCTCGGGCATATCTACATACTTGGATTGAACTACCAGGAGATTATTGAAGGATTCGGTGTTTTGATGATTGTTTTGGGGTCTGTTGAATTTGTTGTGAATTGTACAGCGTTTATATCCGACGTCATACTCTATAACAGGACAAAGAGCAAAGTGGTAAGTAATGCTATAAACAAATTTTGTTATACCCGCACTTTCTACAGATAGTTTACTCTATTTTGTTTATCCTTGGTGGTGTCCTGTAGATGTGGAATAAGGTTCCGAAAAATTTTCATTTTCATCCTTGAGTTCAAGTAGGGGTTGATTTTTTTATAATGCAAAACGTCCCTAGTTTCCTGTACTCCTTTTACATTTTACGCATTAGCCTAATCTTGTTTTGGCAGATGGTTGATGGTGCCCAGTAGGTGTGCAATAAGGTTTCAGAATTTTCATTTTTACCCTTGGTGTCTAATGGTTGTCGAATATAATTTCAAAATTATTTAAAATCATCAGCTATCTCAAACTTTAACATTGTTCCAATCTAATTTGAGATAATAAGTCAACGCTGTTCATAATCAAAGAAGATAAACATAATTTATTAATAATATATCGTAGCTAAATTTTTCTGTGCGATATAATTAAAATTGCATGACACATTTGGAGAAATTGAAAAGTATTCAAGCTCAACAGTCATGAAGTAGTGCCATGAAGTAGTGAGCCCGCCTTGTGCTCCTTGTCATGATCAGGAAATAACGAGAATATCCATCGTCAATTCAGTGTATAAATACTGGACGTACAATTAATATGATAAACATCAGTCATCATCTGATTTAATGATAAATTGTATTTGCTGATAAGGTCATTGATCGACCATAGAACTTATGAGATAATGACTTTAAATGAGGTTGCTGATATTCCTGTTTCATCAACTTCTTTGTCAATAATTTGTCTCGTTTGAAAAATTGTTAAGCATGACCAAATATGACTATAACCAAAGCATGTCCTCGCGTATCGAATCAACTGAGGGATATAAACTCCGTATGCAGGTGATGAAGGTTTATTGCTGCATAAGTAAAGGAAACTTATGACTGAAAAGTTAAAGGCATCACTTTTATCATAGAACTTGGTTGTTTAGATCACCATTAACGTCTTTTTCAAGTAAAATATTTAAATATGAAACCGATGTGTCGTACTTTGTGGTACATATTATTTCAAGCTCACTGGGGTAAATCTTACCGACATAATAATGGAAATAACCATTTTTAATTGACAATACATCGTCTATATATCCAAATGTCGAGTTGAAGGCCACAGGAAGTGTTTACTTGTTTTCACTTTTAAGATTTTGGACAAATTCTACTTTGTGTTAATACAGAAATGGGTCTAAAAATAATGGCGTGCAATTGGTACCCATGGGAATGCCAATAGATTAATGGTAGTTGTGGTCTCCAAAGGCTACATAGCATTTTTGGGAGGCATTATTGTTACCCTGGGCACAGAAATAAAAGACTGTGTGATATACTTAAAGAGTTATATCTATATATAAAATATCAAAAAGAGGTAAATTTCATATCAATTTTCATAAGTAAAGACTTGTATATAAAATAATTTATTTTATTAAAGAGTCAGAATTTTTAAAGATTGCAGTAACCAAAGTTCTGTTACTCATCATAGAAGTTATATGGCTGGGATTAATCATCAAACTTGCTGTTCAGGTAAACTTAAGTTTATATGTGGTTTAAAAAGGCAACATGGTTAATGTATAAACGTAAAATTGTTTTTAAAAAATACTTAAGAACAATTACTATCTGAAACAGTGGGGCATGTAAGAGCGTTTAAATTAAATATTCCAATTTTTAATTATAACATTATCTGCTTTACTTAGGTCACAAGCGATCTTAGATTCAAAATGGCAAATTTATTGATCAATTTCACAAACCTTCATCGGGCATGGTTAACTCTGTTTGGAGAAGTAAGTACACTCTATACATTAGGCCATTCCAATTTTTTTTTCTATGTTTATCGTCCATGGACGGATTGGTTTTGAGATTTTGAAATTAAAAACAAACACAAATTTAAATTGACATATACAGATCTTTGAAACGCTATTCAGTATTCACTCCTTTAAGGTCCACATTTCTCTCTTTTTTAAAGGGGTATACCAAAAATGTTTGTTTCAATAAACTAGTAGATTAACGTAGTTAAAATGTTAAGAGAATTCTCCAATGATGATAAGAAGTTCTTTTAATTTTTGTATTTTTCTGAATAGGATGATTTCTAATTAAGGGCGGACGCTGAACAAAGATAAAACTCGGAAAGGCCTTATATTATAAACATTTAACATAATTACAGTAACTATTATGTGCTTCTTACTAAGTACGAAATTGAGACATATCGTTACTTAATTTCGTACAAAATTATTGGGTTTTTTTCATGGTATTTTTCCTCAGTTGGAGTGTTGTGGTATAACTGCTTCGAGCGATATATGTTCTTTGACGTCCGGATTATGGCATTGTTCTCAGCTGCCTCTAACGTGCTGTCAACATAATTTATATAATGTATCAGAAAGCACTCTCTACAGCACTACAATTTGCAGTACGCCAAACATAGTAAGTAGTATAAGATTTAATCATTGTACTTACTTCTTGAAATATGCCATAAAATGGAAAACATTGCATCTTTTGTAAACTTTAGAGTTCGATTATGCATTTCAAAGAAACTGTAACCATGCATTAGTTGTTTTTTTTTATTATTGTAAGCAAGACTTTTAATCTCTCATTTAAGTATACATATAGCACATCAAAAATTTTATCATGTGTTTTTCATCCCGTTTATTATATTTATAGCCTTGTTTGGAAGCAGTGTCATCCAGATTTAAGATTTACACCACTGGGTATTTCGTAGGAATATCTCTGTCTCTATTGTTTGGAGTAAGTTATTATGAATTTTCACATTGTTGTATATTAATGAAGTTTTAACCAAGTTTTGGACATTTAAATTGAATAACACTTTTTGTATCTTTTTTATAATTCATAATCATTTACTTATACAAATACCACCCCCACCCCCCAAAAATTGTGCATTAAATGTAGAGAAAACGAAAAGTCAACGATCTCTTAAGTCAATTCAAACAATACAAATTAGCAACAGAGCAATCAAAGTTTTGGCAGGTGCCCTGGAATAGTAAGCATCCTCTGACGACTGAAGAATTACAATTTTTCCGGGTTATGATCGGAGACACGAAAAAAAAGTGGCTTGCTGTTTGTAAGTCCAAACGTGCTCTTGCGTTTCGAATCCACTAAACATTTAATCCCCATGTGCAGTTTATAATTTGTATATTGTTACATAAGTAAGGGAAAGCAAGGAGAGAATAGTTGAAGTATTCACATACTACAACAAAAGACTTCCTTTCTTGTGTGATTTTGAATTAATTCTGCTTTCTTTGTATTCACAAATTGATTTTCTAATAAATTACTTTTTATTTTAGTTAAAGATGTTTTAAGATATGAATATAAAGTTTATGGATGTAGATCACAATTTTTTCAAAAACAGACTTTGCAGTTTTTCATAGTCTTTTAAAATATGGATATCTATTATATTTCATATGTTTTATATCAATAGCTATTAATATTTTCAAATAAAAAAAAATGATATTATTAATCATAAAAATGTTTTCAATTTTTTGAAGGGAAAAAAACCAAGATTCATATGATAAAAATAACACCTGTTAAATTTTTATTCTGTTTATGAATCATTAGTAAAGTATTGAAAATTGATTATTTCTTTGAAATATTGTTATCTATCCCTAGTTAAAATAAACAGATTTACTTAATGAATTATTTGAAGAACAAGGGTACCCCTTTCTTTGTTAACTTGTTTCATTGGTTTTGTTATTTGGTGTATTTTTTCCTTCAAAATTTCCAGTTTACAGTATAAAAACTAGTTGCAATGTAATGGTAAATAAAGGGCATTTTACAAAAATAACAAAATCATTTGTTTCTGGATCAGAGGCTCTGTTTATAATGCAAAGTACCAATCAGAAATAACAAACAAACAAACAAAAAACGAAAAAAAAAAATTGTTATATTTTTGAAATCATCTTCCCTTACTGCCTGATTTTGATAAGCAAGGGTCAATCAGGTTTTGTGAATTTTATGACCCTTCGATCAGGATAGGGGATTAAAGTGGGGCTCTACTCATTATGTAATACATAGTGCTTTTTCTTCTTTGAAAATCATAATATCCATATCCTAATGGGAATGTAGCAATCAACTTACTCTTTTCTCTTGTTTCAGTTTTAATTTTTATAAAACTCTTCTTTTCGTCTTTATCAGACATCTGTCATATGACTCTTTATATATTTCAGGTTTTGGGAATAACATTTACATTGCTCCATATAAGATCACTGAGAGACAGGGATGACAGAAAAGATGGAGAGCAGACAGATAAAGATCCGCCCGAGCTGGAAAAGAGACTGATCCCCGAAAGTCGTCCTAGACGACTGATTAACTATTGTAAAAGGTAAAACAGTGGTAAAGGCCCAAAGCAGGTAAATAAATGAAGGAATTTTACAGTTATTTCAAATAATGATATTGGTGTATGTACTTATGTTCTACAAAATTAAGGATATCCGATCCTCAGCCAGGAAGGATAACTCTAAAATTAGTTAATTAATTTAAAAAGTCTCAAAATTAAGCTTGAAATTGAAATCTTTTCGTGCAACAATTTTCATTTTATGCATCTCAATATGATTCAAAATTTTTTTGAAGTCCTAGAAACGTTCTTGTAAAATTTGACATTTGTGCCCAAGATGAAGTACAAAAATAAATGTAGTTACAGAAATCGAGTTAGCTTTAATCTAGCCTTTAAAACCAGTATTTATTAGTATGAAATGAAATCAGAAGTGATCTAAGATGTCCTACAACAGTAGTACAAACGTTCTACACTATGTATTTATTATAACAAATGAACTAAAAAGAAAAACAAGTGTCGAAAACGTATGAAAAACATGCAATTTTCTCTAAATGCCTGGATACCTATAATGTTTTATCGAAAAATATATTTGTTGATGAATTTGCATACAGAAAATGTACAGAGGTCACTTTGATTCACATTTTCTGAAAAAAATATTAGAGATTTCATAATTTTCCCTATATAATATGATTAATTTTAATGATGCATTTTGAAGAAATACTTTGGGTAAATACATCTTATTCTAATAATTCAGACACATATTTGTGAGCATTTTCCTTTACCAAACTCCTGATTTTCAGGACCTGAGGATCGGACTACCTTAAGAAACAATTTTTTTTAACTTTTTAGTTTAGAAGCAAATTAAATATTTAATGAATTTGTGAATTCTTTGATATATAGAAGGCATTCTTTTAGGGACATACAGCGCAAAATGATAGTCATAACATCGACAATTTCATTGGTAAGTTTATTCAATGTCAAATATTATTTGTTAGTTTGTAAGTTTTGTTTTACTATTGATAAGAGAATTAATGTAAGCATTTATCATTTTTTCCAAAAGGAAGAAAGGGTCATTTTTAGACTACATCTAAGACTACCAAAGTTATTGTAAAATGTTTATTAAATCGGTAAACTGTTATCTTGAACAGTATCATTTCCCATAAATTTGTTAGACTTCACATCATAGGTGTAAAAGCTTGGTAACATTCAATTTACATTACATTATTTCTGAATTTTTCATCACTATGCAGCTAAGGAATATAAATTAATTTACATTTCCAGGTCCTTGCTGCCGGAATATTTATAGAAGGGCTAGTGTTAACATACGATAAAGTGTTTAACCATGACATTATCCGGGATGTCCTATGGAGCGCCTTATCCTTTGATGGCTTGTCCTTCAATCACATACGGCAGTCGTTTTCGGCGTTTATGATTTCATCAGCTCTTGTGATTCTGATTGTTTCCGTTATTGGAATGTTCACATTAAAAACAAAATCAAAATATCTTCATATCATTGTAAGTATTTTAGTACATTTATTGCATTATATTTCTCCGGGTTTTTTTTCTGACAAGGAGCACGCGGCGAGTGCCCGGTCGACAAGGGATGCTTACTCGTCCAAGGCACCTGCTCTAACCTCAGATGTTATTTAGAATGTTCTGCTCCGTAATTGTTACAGATGAAATTTCAGCTTAGCTTTATTACTGCTCGTTATCTCTATATGTTATGCATTCAATTTGGTCTTTTTTTCCTAAATAGTAAAAATATTATTTAAAGGGACATGGACACAGATTCAACTGAATTTTTAAAACGAATTTTAATGTTTAAAATTCCAAAATATATATAATGATAATAAAATGATCAGCAAAAATTTGAACATCATTTGTTGATTAACAAAGGAGATACAGAACGTTAAGTTCTTCATCTTATAAAAAAGGGTCGTGCCTTGTTTTGTTTACATATATATCATATTTATAACAAAATGATATTCAGCAAATCAATAGAAATTGTCTAATCCTATTTAGAATTAACTTCTTTATTGAAATTATCTGATTTGAACGAACATAAATTTGTATATAAATCTATGTAAACAAAAACATGACACGGACCATGTTTACATAACAAAGATCTAAATCTATTTTGTATCTCGACAACTGAAGATCAAGTTTTTGATGATCATTAGAAAGGCTTTAGTGAAATATTTCTAATATGGAAAAAATAAATTTGAAAATATTTAGCTGAAACTGTGTCCATGTCCCTTTAAGTGCCTCAGCCACCATAACAGAAAATCTTATATTGTTAATTAAATGTTACATATGGAGATAACGAACAGTATTCAAGATCTAAAGTCCATAAAACAATACAAAACAGTAACAGAGCAAACACGGACCTCCAAAACATCAGAGGTCGGATCAGGTGCCATGGAGGAGTGAGCATTCCATGCTAACCGGACACATCCGCCGTGTGCTCCTTGAATGCTTTTATTGACTTATAAAATGTTCTCCTACGTGCATAAAGAACTTGGTTAATACTAAATAGGTACTCTCTCTCTCTCAAAATATATTACGCTAAAGAAAAACTATTGTACGGTAAATGAAAAAAGTATCTACTGTTTCTAAATGCTGTTATTGTTTTTGTAGCAAATAATTTTAATCAGCCTATGCTTCTCCTTAATGGTCGTCGGGAATGGCCTTTGGGGAAAGTCGAAAGATACAGTAAGTAACATAAACACAAATATTAAATATCATATTAAGTCAAATTTTGATAGAAGCTTTTTCTGGATTTCAAATTTGTGGACCACTCGTTTTTCTAATATTTTTATATTGCTATTGGCAGTAAAATACGTACAATTCTTGAAATAAGAATTAAATTTATTACGAATTTATGTATTTTTTTTTACTCCCAAAGTTTTTTGTATATTTTACATTTGGACCTAAGGTTTTCTTATTTTACACCTACATTATTTTCAGTAACACAGTTCAAAACTCTTGTAACACAGTTCAATATTTCCTCATAAGATAAGATTTTATTATATATATTATAGATTTATCCACCGAATTTCATCAATGTTTAATCTTATTACAGATAAGCTATAGATTGGCAAACGAGATGATTTCGTTTTTACAAAATTATGGATATGATGAAAGTATAAACTACATTTTCACAAAAACAGCACAGTCAGCTTGGAGTAACCTTTTTGCTGTGGTATGGATATTTTTATGAAATCATAAACATGTATATTAATTTTTTTTTTTTTACTTTTATCATATATGTTATGTTAATTAAGCATTGATTAAATAATAATGTTTTTTTCACTGTACCAGTCAGAGAGAAAGTAATGTAACATATATAATTCTTTAATTACTCACCTTCCTTTAAGATTATGCTCCGGTAAATGAGTGAGCTTTTTAAAAATTACCGTTAATATGGATCGGAGATTACGACAAATATACATGTACTTTTAGAACTGTGCGATTTTTTTTGTTAAGCTTTTTTCCGCAAAAAAATTTCAGCTGATCCAGAAATGTTTGAAATATTGGTTCTAAGACTTTCATATTTCATGTTTATAGTTCTTTTGACAAGACCTTTCCTTCAATACCATTATTTCTGACTTTAACCTTGGGGATTGGTAGTCTAAGGATCTATCGAGAAAACACGTATTCGATATATACTAGCGTTAATATAACTCTTAAAAAACAATATACATATAATTCATTGCAATACGCGAGATTCTCAGCGGGCGACTCTCTCATTATGTAACAACTGTTATTCGCTAAGAAATACCTAAACGTTTCATTTCATTAAACAAAAGTTAAAATCGCATAATTAAATTTCATATGACAGTATGCCTCTAACATCTACTTCGTCTCCTCATGACCTTAAAATAGAAAAATGAAAAACGTTTTTGATAATGCTTAAAACGTATACAGTGTAATTACTAATTTTTTTTTAAAATATTGCTTTTTGTAGGCGGAATGTTGCGGTATCTTTGATTATGAAGGCAGCGAGATATCACGATATCTCTCATCAGATAAAATACCGATCTACTGCTGTAAAGAAAACCCATTTACAGAAACCTACATCCAGGATAACGACAATTGTATGGACTTTTTACAGGCTGATCTTCAACATAACAAAGTAAAGTATTCGTTACATATAGGTATGGACAATTATACAAAGCACTCATTAGGACAAATAATATTACTACATAAATCAGAAAAATTGATAGTGGAAAAGCTAGTCCTATCGTTTGTCATATAATTTAATTGTAAGCTGGTCAATAATATTGTTTGTAGTCGGTAAAACATCTTATACGATGTGACATTCTCTGTTATGTCTTTATTTCGTTGAGATATAGATTTACCTTATTCTATCAAACTATTAATTTTTATGATAACATTTATTTCTCATTTTTGGAATGACCTTTGACCTTTGCATAATTTTCAACGTCAAGTGTCAATGAATCTTATGCAGTTTATTTTTCTTGCAGTCATGTAAAGATGCATTGCTTACAAGACTTGATGTGTACAGCAATTTATTTTTCACATTCTCTGCCCTTACTTTTGCAATTTTGGTAAGTTATATTTTCTTTTATATCTTTATAATAATATGAAAATATGGAATGTATTTATGATACAATGTATTAGATTCATTAGTTAAACAACAATAAAATGCTCACATTTTTGTTTTTAACTTCTTATTTACCATGGCCTTTCTTATGTCATACCCAGACTGTAGTCCGAAATATCTGACGTACTTTTCCAGGCATTTTTACGATTTTCATATTTAACATGCTAAGGAAACGTCAGAACCGGCCCCATCAAATATATTTTCAATGCACATAAAAATTTTGCGGACAATTTAGAAATCTGAGGCTCAAGTTGTTAGTCCTAATATGAAATCATTCTTATTAATAAAAAATACCTTTTGTAAGCACAACCTGATTAGGAAACGTCAGCATCAAACTAGTGAGTTTAAAAGTAACACTGTAATCCAATATACAGATGTATAATGTACATGTAACCCTGAATGTAACAACTAAAAGTTATCAACTACATGTATATAATGCTGGAAACAGTAATGTTGTTTGTAAATTTTGAATTATACGGGTGGCAGTATATACAAAATTCACAATATGACAACTTGTCAAATTATAAATTTTGTTGTGAATTTTGTGTTTAAGGAAAAACAAATAATAAAGTTTAAAGGTAAAAATCCAAAGTTGTAAAGTTGCAAACCAAAGTTGTAATATTTTTTAGATGTATAAATAATAGCTCTTTCACATTTGAATGTTTTGTCAAGTTGTACATCCTTGCAACATTTATATCTTTACAAACACTAGAATTTTTTTTTTTAAAAAGGACAAACACGAAGCAAACAACACATGTTACTTATCTTAAATTTTTTATAAATAGAAAATAAATAATGGCTATTCAAAATGTTTAATGATAATGAAATCAACTTCTGAGTTGAATGAACTTTTTTTCATATTGCAGACTTTCCAGTTTAGTTTAATTATTTACAAGTTAAAGAAAATGAGTTTTATTCCAATCATCGACGACAAATACTTGAAAATGACAAAGATGTTATGTAAGACAGGAAAAGGATATCGGTACGTCTTTTATCTACTTTTTATATAATTTGAACTATATTCACAGATTTAACATTAACTGTGCCTTTTTTAAAATCTGTTTTAATGAGTTTCAAAAATTTATTTTAAACTGTAAATCATTACTTGCAGCAATATCTTTACTTTCGAGAAAAGGATGATATTCACTGTCGCAGCATTTGTGAGTATCTAAATTATATTAACAAAAAAGCACCTGATATCTGAATGTTCTTCGGTAATTATTGAGTGAATTGCATAGAAAAACTGATAATAAAACAAAGCAACTTTCTAAAAAAACATCCGTTTGTTAAATTCAAATGAAATAATAATTTTCTTTTAAAAAAGAAACTTTTTCATATGTATGATAAGCATGTGTTTGTGTTGTTTACTTTCTCTTTCAGCTGTCATCCTTAAGCATGTTAATACTTGGCATTGTCATGAAGCACGATGACAAAATGACGGGAGGATATGTGTACTATGTGTACAGATACCTTTACTTCAGAGGCGTTAATTTCTTGGACATTGTCAAGGATACGTATCTATCGTTAATCATCCTTGGAACCTTGTCGGCGACAATGGGCTTGCTGAAGCTTACAGATGTGTTTCGAGAATTGCAAAACAAAAGAAAAAATTACATGGTATACCAATTTTTAGGTCACCTGAGAAAACTCAGGTGACCTATTGCTATCCGTTTTCGTCCGTCGTTGTGCGTCGTGCGTTAACATTTGAACATTTTCAGCTTCGTCTCTGCAACTACTGAACCAATTTCAACCAAATTTGGCACAAAACATCTATGGGTGAAGGGGAACAAAAATTGTGAATTTCATTATCCCTGGCCCCCTAGGGCCTGAGGGTGGGGCCAAAACCACTAAAATTAATGCAATCTTTAAAAATCTTCTTCTTAACTCCTGGACATCAAGCAGTAAAACTGTTTGCATGATTGTAATCAACAATGAGTGAAATAAAAAATTGTGAAATTCATGGCCCTGGGGTCAGGGGTTCTAGTGCTAGGGTGGGGCTAAATAAGTAGGTAGTGAAAATGCATTATTTCTTTGAAATTCTTCTTCTCTGCTCCTGGGTATTAAATAAACTATCTAAGTGCATAGTTATAATGAGCAAGAGTGCCTCTACCAAAATTGTGAATTTTATGGCCCCAGGGTCAGGGTTTCTGGTGTTAGGGCGGGGCTCTATAAATTATACAGTGAAAATACATTAAATCTTTGAAAATCTTTTTCTTTGCTCCTGGATATTAAATAAACTAACTAAGTGCATAGTTATGATGAGCAAGAGTGCCTCTACCAGAATTATGAATTTTATGGCCCCAGGGTCAGGGGTTCTGGTGTTAGGGCGGGGCTCTATTGATTATATTGTGAAAATACATGAATTCTTTGAAAATCTTCTTCTCTGCTCCTGGGTATTAAATAAATTAACTAAGTGCATAGTTATGATGAAATTGTGAATTTTATAGCCCCAGGGTCAAGGGTTCTGGTGTTAGGGCGGGGCTTGATTGATTATATAGTGAAAATACATTAAATCTTTGAAAATTTTCTTCTCTGCTCCAGGGTATTAAGCAGATGAACTACCTATATAGTTATGATGGACAAGGGACTTTATCTTCCAGAATTGTGAATTTTAAGGCACCAGGGCCAGGGGTACCATGGCGGTAGGGCTGTACTTATATACTGAAAATGAATGAATGGTTTGAAATCTGCTCCTTGGTATTAATCAAATATCAAGGCCTAAGGGTTAGGGGTTCATGTGTGGTAGGGGCACTACTGATTATTGCTGAATATTACTGATTATTTGAAATGCATTTTTTGTTCCCCTACCCTGCGTATGGGTATTAAGTAAACAAACTAAGCAACTGCTAAGTGTATTGTTATGATGATCAATGGTGCCTCTTTCAAAATTGTGAATGCCATAGCATCTGGCTTAAAACATGAATCAAATTCAATCACTGGAAAGTTGTTGCATAATGCTCAAGTGACCTATATGGCCCATGGGCCTCTTGTTGACATATGAAATACAAAGTACACTGTATTAAATAATATTGATTTGTAGTTCAGATTTTTGTTTCAATTTTTTAGCATATTGGTATTGTGTTGATTTTAATTCTAACAAAACTGGTCTGCATTCCCTTGATGGCAGTAGTTCGTATAGATGTGAGTATTGAATCAGTTGTTTTATTGTTTGGCGCCAAATACCCATAAGAGATCTTTTTCTTATCATCCCCAAAACTGCGTATGACTTCATTGTATTCCATCCTTATGGATGTAGAATTAAAATATATTCAAAACCCATATATTGAAATCTATGTTTCTCAAAAACAAAGTTTGTGTTTAAAGATGCGCACAAGCTAAAGTGTTTGGAAGAGGTACTCAGTTTGACAAACATAACAAGTTAATGAGTCTTACAGCGGCATTCCATAATTTTTATTTAAAATATACCCCGTATACAGATCAAAGGTATTTTTCTGGTTCATTATACTGTACAAAGACAAAAAGTTCATTTTATTAACAAAATATAATATTTTTTTCTAAATACTGTATGAATATTCCATTAAGTCTCTGATCTGATAATACAGAATGTGTATATTTCAACAAAATTTACGCCTCCTCATTATATTTTATATCACACGTTTATTGTATGGGATATGCTAGAATACATTTCCTGTCTTTTATGATGAACTTTGTCGATATCTTTTAAGTAGCTACATTCTCTTCTTTAATTCAAAGCTATATGAATTTTATTGGTAGATTGATGAAAATGCTTCCTATCAATTAACAAATATGGATCGACAGTACCGAAATACGCACTCTCTGTATGATAGTATGATGTACAGCATCCTGAACCGTTTCTACATAGCGGTAAGATTTATTATTGAAAATGAGGAAAAACTTATTAAACTGAAGTCAAAAATTAATCAAGTTGTATTTATGTAGACTTCATTTATTAGTTTTGTTAGCCACAATAATTTAGTTGTTTTCAGTTTTAAACTTAATTTAATACGATTTTATATTTTATTATATCATGCAGTCTACGCTTGTAGCATTTTTGGTATAAGGCAATAAAACGAATTAATAGAATATCTCCGCCTTGACCCCTTGTCATTCTTAATTATTGAATTTAACTAAATTAAATTAGTAAATTACGAAAGCCTATTAGGATCAATCTATAGAGAAAAAAAGGCGTTAATACGCCTTTCCACTCCAAAAGGCATTATTACGCCTTTTGAAAAGGCGTAATAACGCCAAAAAAGGCTTTATAACGGATTTCCATTCCAAAAAGAGTTATTACGTCTTTCCATTCCAAAAGGCGTCATTACGCCTTTCCAAAAAGCGTTATTACGCCTTTTAAAAAGGCGTAATTACACCTTTTTAAAAAGCGTTATAACGCCTTTCTAAAAGGCGCTACCATGGCTTTTCTTAAAGGCGTTATTACGCCTTTCTAAAAGGCGTTATTATGCCTTTCCAACAGAGTTATACCGCTTTTTGAATAACCATTATTTTGCAGTTAACAGGCCCTTGCTTTTAATAGCCCCCCCCCCCCCAACTCTACTGGCTAAACTTGTGGGGGGACTTCTCGGTAAAACTTTATTTAAATGCAATAATTTGCCACAGTTTTACAAACTGCAGCAAAATGTTCAGGAACCAAGCAACCAATAGTTAAATATAATATTTAAATTGACTTTTCCACAAGAAATGTGTATGAAAGATTTAATTAAAACCATCTTTATTCATGCAATTCTCTATATTTCTGCACGCTTGGGCTAAATATGTTTTGTCATTTATTGAAAATAGAAAGGCGTTATAACGCCTTTTATAAAGGCGTAATAACGCCTTTTGGAAAGGCATAATAACGCCTTTTAGAAAGGCGTAATAACGCCTTTTATAAAGGCATAATAACGCCTTTTGGAAAGGCGTAATATTGCCTTTTTAAAAGGCGTAAGAACGCCTTTTGGAATGAAAATGCGTTATCACGCCTTTTAAAAAGACGTAATAACGCCTTTTGGAATGGAAAGGCGTAATAACGTCTTTCTAAGAGGCGTTATAACGCCTTTTTTGCGTTATTACGCCTTTTCAAAAGGCGTTATAACGCCTTTTAAATATTTTTCTCTATAGATTGATCCTAATAGTCTTTCGTAATAAATAGTCAAAAGCCATGTAGAAAGTTTATAGACTCTGGTGATAAGGCTTTGGTCAAATATCACTTTGTCAATACATCCTTTGATCCTAAGTTTAAGGGCTTAATTGCTGAAATATACTGAAAATGTAACACTTAGCAGACAAGCAAATTAGTTGTGATTGAAGACTATACAGAGTTTTCCTTCAATATTGACTGTTTTTGTTTAAAACAAACAGGTAACTTCAGTGCGTTTCCTTTAAATTTGGTCTGACTGCATTATGATATGGTCTATTTCAGTATCAAAGCGTTCATTTTATAAAAAGATTAAGAATTGTGTTTAAACCAATTTACAAGTGAAAAATTTATATGACACTCAACAGTTTGATTGCTGTGGTGCTAGGGGACCATATGAACTGGCAAACATGGCATCTACCAGCGGTTATACAGGCTACACAGGAGCTCAACCATATGCCTGCTGCCATGGAGCTGCATATCTGGATTCTCCCTCTATGCTTTCTAGTGTCGTATGTGAGAAAAAGGTATTTTTGAGCATCACTACACAATTTTTATTCAAAGTGAAATGATGCACCAAATTTTTGTACAATAGATGTTGAAAATTCAGAATGGAAAAATCGATACTCAGTATTAACTCTTTTGTATGATTTTTTTGTGGGGGGATGGGTACGGGTGGGGGATGTTTTATTTGTTTTACAAATAAGAAATCAAATTTAGAAATTAAAAAAAAAACGCTTAAAATAAATCACTATATAAATATCTAATAAAATGTGTCAAATATATGAAGACTTTGTATTTTTTCATAAAATTGATTAAGTCAACATCTATTTGCGTACCTGCCTCTTTTTGACATGTGCCATAATACATTTATATTGTGCATGTATTAACAGCAAATTTTTAAACTCTAAATGTATTCAAATCCTCATAACGTGTTTAGGATGTTTATAAACATTGGGTTTGTTAGTGTGTTTCTTGTTTAATGTCACTCTCGAGAATTTTTTCAAAAATGAAGACGCCACCACCTGCCGGTGGAAAGCTGCAGATTTTTACCTTTACTCATCCAATGAGCAATGTCAGGGTATCTTTTTCATACTAACCCCTAATACATGTATGGGTCTATGCGGTCTCATCACAAGGACCGGTCCCCACGTCCCACTTTGAAATTGAAAACCGCGACGTAAGGATCATAATCATAATTATATTAATTTTTATTTTTTTCTCTCACAATTATGACGACCAATTGATATACTTTACCTCATGTTCCACTGATGTTGGTGTGAGTGAAATAAAATAAATGAAATGAACTTGAAAAAAATTAATACTCTGAAACTCCTTACTATGCGACTCTAGAGCAGACGCTCTAGATTACCACTGCGCCATGCGGACGACATACATTTGATGTATGATATACTAAATTAAAGAAAAATTGATTTCTTTAATGAAAGGATTTTAAAATACCGGCACTTTGATGGGGTTCAAATATCAGCTTTTTGTAAGACCGTTTCATAGACTTCAAAAACCTTTAATCACATTAAGATGGACGAAATGGAAATTGTTTAATGGAAAAGATTTCAAGCTTCATTTAAGACTTTTTAAATTCATTTATATCCCTCCTTCAAATTAGTGTAAATTCTACCACGATTATTGCCGAGATCAAAGAAATGCCGCGGACATTATTCTCCATTAAATCACGAACGTCATCAAAAATTATCAGATCAGAAACACGAATCAAACCTGTTAACATAAATATTTGACTCTAAAATGAAAGACATGTAGGCTCATCGATGTGTCTCTTTCGCAGTTAAAACACTGTGTAAATTGCATAAAGAAGCTGATGAATGTAGGTTTTTATAGCTAAGCGGAGCTGTTCCACAGACCTCCCTACACCATATTTTAACTCCAAACAAGGAATGAGGGCGCTTTTGATTGGCATTCGGCAGGAATCGGCGTACTTGAAAAGTGAAAATTTTTTCGACATGTCACATGAAAGAACTTTATTCGGTAATAACCAATATTTGCCCCCCAAATCAAACTTTGATGGAGATATATTTAATTAAGTTCTTAAACAGGGGAGTATATGCTGACTTCAAAGCACTGAATATTTTCCTAAGTAATGACGCCATATGTACGTAATGACGTCACAAACATGACGTAAATTTCAGTTTTTTATGAATTTTACAGAAAAATGTACATATTTCGTCGATATTTTGAGTAAAAGTCACCGAGCGCATGTGTGTTCAGGATCAATATTTTGATATAATGTGTAGAATGATAATATCAATGAAATATGTCAATATTGTTCCTGAACAAACTTGCGCTGTATAAATTTTACAGCTAAAATTGTTGAAATTTCGGCCTTTTTTCCTCTTTCTAAAAAAGGATATAAAATCGGACTAGATTATGACGTCATAAAAACAAAAATTGTGAATACACTGCTTTGACACTATACTATTTTCTGCTAATTTATATTTCTCATACTATTTATTGAATTCAGCACATTTCAGGAAGTTTTCAAAATTTGACTTTTGTGGGGGCAAATATATGCAATATACCGCAGATAGTTCTTTTAATATTTATTTTAATTATCTGGTTCCTGTGACATGGGAAAGGAAACTATTTTCCCGAAAGTGAGATTTGATATGTTAAAAAAATAACTTGAAAAGTGACTAGATCAGACATTTGGTACAAAATGGTACATTTTTAACACTTTTTTCTAAATTTTTTCTATCTCTGGGTCTTCTCTTCATTATTTTGAAAGGTTATTTGTGTGCATTCTGACTCAAAAAAAAAAAAACGAACATACATTTGTGAAAAATGGAGAGAAGACCCAGAGACCATAAAAAATCAACTTTTCCCAAAAAAAAATCCAACTGTGTAAATGTGCACAGGAAGAAACAAGACCTTTCAGTTAAAACTGAAAGGCGGCTTTCAGTAACTTTTCAGTGGCCATTCAGCCACTGAATGGCACAAACATTTCAGTGACCTTTCAGTTGCCTTTCAGTCACATTTCAGATACCTTTCAGTCACCATTCAGCGGACACATTTCCGTCAACTTTCAGTGGCCTTTCCATCAACTTTCAGTGACATTTCCATCAACTTTCAGCGACCTTTCCGTCGTCTTTCAGTGACCTTTCCGTCGACTTTCAGTGACCTTTCTGTCGTCTTTCAGCAATTTTTTCACTAGCGTGTTATTTTATAATCAGATATTTTTCCTTAACAAGGAAGCAATATTTTGATTAAAGATTTATCATTCAATCTTAATTGTGTTTTTTTACTTATCGTGATCAAATTCGGGTACCTTAAAATATGTCTAAGTAATTATTATAATTTTATAAAATATGTGAGACTTATTCAAAATGATTTTTAATTTTCTAGTTACATTTAGAAAAAAAATTCTTCAAGTGATAAAAAATGATGATCCGATAACCGATTCAAAATTTAAGTAAATGCATAACATTCTATAGTGCTTTTACGTGTATTTTTTCATGGAAATATATAGTTTTGATTGATGAGACAGTATTTATAATATTTAAACCATTTCTGGAAGAACGCAAGTACTCCTAATAAATTTCGTTTCTTGATTATGTCATTGTTAAAACTGCAGGATAATTAGTTTTTGAAAGACATTATTTTAAATTCATTTTAATTACAAGAATAAATAAATCTTTATACATGCCTTTTGTAGAAAAAAATATATATAGGAGATTTTAGCTTTCTAAATGATATTACTTTAATAAAATCATTCTACTAAGTTTCTAGATAGAGAATTTACAACGATCGACGTGGTGCTTCTTTATCCTTTTAAAGTCTACAATATGTGTAGCTGTGATTTTAAGGCCCTGTCACACCAAGCTGCGTTCACACGGAGTCATTACGGCGTTGTTAAATTTTTAAAATCGCCGTGGAATCGCAGGAAAATTGCACAAATTTCTGTAAAGTTTTCACAATATGAAGATGTCACGGCGTCCCTACGGCGACGGATGCGATTCTACGGCGATCTCACGGCGTTCCCACGGAGATCTTTCGGCGATTGACTGCGCTTCCGCGGAGTTTTCACGGCGCGTTAGGAGCTTTCACCTCGTGTTCACGGCGTTCTCACTGCGCTTGCTGCGTTCACAATACGTTCACAATGCGTTCTATACTCATTGATTTATATTCAGAAGGAATGTAAAACATTTTTGTTTAAAAATTCAAGTTACACGATGAAAAGACTTTTAATAATACCAAAAAATATTCTAGATAATTAAAAATGCTCTGTTTAAATAATTAAGTACTAAATTATAAATATTTAATAGTTTTATGATTAAACTCCTTCTTTTCAATTTTATCGGTTCAGATGTGTTGTTAGATTTTCTTTTATTTTATTATGAATGCTAAAAAATAAACACACTGAAAATTTTTCTGCAAAATTTAAGTGAAACAACCATGACAACAGAACAAGTTCTGGTGTAATTTTCTCTGGAATTATTGCTGATCAAATATGATCTCATTGCTCTTGTTATGTGAGCTGGCTGACAACGCTTTAACAACGCCGTGAAAGCGCATTGTGATCGCCAACGGATGCTGCAGAAACGCCATGGGAGCGCAATGATCGCAGTGACAACTCCGTGCTGTCGCTGTGTAATCGCATTCGAAAAAATCACAAGACGATAAATCTCATTAGAAGCGCCGTAAAAACGCGATAGAAAGGCAGTGACATCTCCAAGAACTCCGCGACATCTCCGTGAGATCGTGCAGTGTACTATCACTGCGTTCGTGCCGCGATCATGTGCGTCTTCACGGCGTTCGTACAGAGCTCGCACTACGTTGTTGGAGATCTCACCGCGCTGCTACGGCGATCATACTACGTTTTCACTGCGTTCTTATCAGACCGCGATCACACGGCGCGTACTTTGTGCATGCCCAAAGTGATCGCCGTCCCCTGACGTTCTAGGAGACCCTACGCGACCCTACGGCGTTCAGTGGAGATCTCGCCGCGTTGTCACGGCGCTGTAGGAGACTCTACTGCGATCACCTCGGCGTTTTGCATTTTTTGAGGACGCCGTGCAGTCGCCGTGAGGACGCAGCCCCGGTGTGACAGGGGTTTAAATTGGGTTACCTGTTCAGTGCACTAGAAGTGAATAAAATTTTGGTTTGAGTCTCGCATGGGGCGTTATTATTTTTTTTAATGCAGACAATCAATTCTTTTGTCAGTTTCGTTTTATGCACTGATTTATTAAAATTTGATTTAGATAAATGTTGGTTCATGCAGTTGCACCGAGAGCAAAATTAATTCCTGCCTTCTATTTTACTTAAACTTTGATGTACACATGTACACTATCATCTGTGCCTTTTATCTTATAGGTGTTCATTTTTTTGTGAAGAATGACTATGGATATTGTACCTCCTAGAGAAAAATGGTCATAAATGTTACAATCTAACAAGGTTTTTCAAACTAAATGATAAAGAATCCTATGGCTGTTTTTAAAATCTGATTAGCTATGGTCAGCCAACCAAATCATGGACATTTTAACCATAAATGTTTACAAATGATTCCTGTAGATCAAACGCCAGATACGCCCATCTTCTT